ATTTTTTACAGCTCTGGAAGCTCATCAAAAAAAAACAAAAAACAAAACTACAAGAACACCCATGAGTTGAAGTAGTTGCATACCCATTCTGCATATTGCTATGGATGTTCATAACAGCGTGTTTCTCTATGTCTGTATTGAGAGGCTTCTCTTCCCTTCAATGCTTTTCTATAGTTGAGAAAGTCGGTACCTTCATCATTCTATTGCTATTTCAGTTTTTATATAACCACTACAAGTACTGCACATTGGAACTGAAGTCATATTCTAGAAAGTCACAGGAATACAAGAGAAATTCTCTCTAATGGTTTACAATAAATAATCTTGCTCAAGGCAGTGTGATGAAATTTACACTTTCAGATAGATGCTCTAAGAAAACCTGGCCAAATCCTTAGGTACTGCAGTAGCAGCAGTCTAAATTAACGGGTGAAGAACAGGTCAGAGAGTTCTTTTTTCACCTATGATAATGGTAGCAAAGCTCTTCTGCTTGGCTCTGTCAGTGCCTTATCTTACTCTTACCCTCCTCCCACTACAAAGTTTTTTAGTAGAGGTAGGAAAAAAATAAAAGATTCATAGTGCACCAATTTCCCCATCCCCCCTTTTCATTGTTCACCTTCCATCCCATCTCTTTGATGGAAATAGCTGTTAGAAACAAGGCAGGAATCAGAGGAATTGGAAGGATTACCCATTTCAGCCCAGCAAACATTCAGCATACTATAAACATAAAAATCAATGGTTACCTAATACGTGCTGAGCTTCAGAAGTAATTACCTCTAAGCTCTTTTTCTCTTAACCTTCCTGTATTATTTCACGACAGGGTGGTGACAAAATTATGTCAGCACTATTTTATTTCATATCACCTTGGGCAACAATGCAAAAACAGGTAGAGAGCTTCATTCCAACAAGCTGGACAGACAAGAATAAGAGTCAGAAGGTAATTAAAACTAAACATGGGAAAACATCAGTAAGAATTTTTTAGTTTTTCATCTGCAGGCTGCTTTTCCTTCATTTAGTTTTGAAACACGGCTGTTAATCTGTCAACTTTTTCCCTCCATTTCTTATTTACTTAGAACACATACAGCACATATACACAGAAATAAAAGCTCCGTATCATCAATAATAGGCTTAAGCATTACTAAAAATCAAGAATTCAATTACTCAGAATTTCATTTTTAGAGCTAATAAAGAAAAACTGAACCTATTAGTATTAAATACCAAACAACTTATTCATCTTCTCAAAGATTAGCCAGTGGCGATTCCAGTTCTAAGCCAATATACATTCCTTGATCAATGTACCTATTTAACGTAGATAATCTGAGAAATAAGTTAGTATGTTTAAAAATAAACTGCATGCAGATTTATACAGTCATACTATGAAACCAGCCAATCAATCACTAGAAGTTCCTGATGATGGGATACAAAAGCAAAAATAAAGACCGAGAAGAAAACAAATTATTACTTTTTTTTTTCCGCCCTACAAGCACATCATGCCATGTGCAAAGTGATACAGATAGAAATTCATTCAGACTGCAGAAGCTTAGGACCTGGGGACTTTATCTGCTTCATATGATTGCTAACAAATTCAGTGAAACAGAAAGCGTTCAGAACTGAAACACAAATATCAAGAAACACATACAAGTAAATCAGGGCCTAAGATGTATTCTTTTCCTTCTTGTTCTTCAACAAAACACTAATTTCATTGAAAAAAAAAAAAAAAGTCAATAGTTACCCATTTTTTCCCCAAGAGGCTTGCATTAAAGTTACTTGCATAAAGGAATAGGCCTTCCAGAGCTGAAGGCAACAAATCCCTCCTAAGGCTACTGTTCCACAACCAGAACACTGTTTGCAGCGTTCTGCAAAAGACAGTTCTACAGTCATTTTAATACAGAAGAATTCTTGTGAAAAAACACCATCTTGGATTTGGCAGATTGTTTTGCTCCAACTCTTGTATACAGCCGCATTACTGAATAAAAGAAAAAAGCACATTGGTTCCTGTTTCTTCAGCAGCTGGATTAACATCAAAAGCTATTTATATGTAGTTTGGTCAATAACACAGTGTTATATGGATGGAGATATTGCAAAGGATTAGTTCTACAAGATTTTCACTTGCAATTGTACAATATACAACACCAGTTCCTTCTATATAGTGAAGAAGTTCTCTATCTATTTAGGACACATCACAACCTCATTTGTTAGATTTTTATGATCTGGCACTCCATACTATTTTTTGTTGGGAAACAAAGATTGGTCTCCTGTCCTGTTGGGAGAAGAACACCTGCTGTCAAATAGTTATTTTGCTTTCTATTACCCCCTCCATTTTCCAGTGATCCACCTTTCCAGTTTGTCCAATTATCATGTAATGATTTTCATGCAGCTCCCTGCTGTTCAAGCCTAAGCGACTATTTTCACCACTGAGGAGCTCCCCTTTCCATAAGGGAATTACAGGTTTTGCTTCAGACAATGCAGAAGCAGAGAAAAAAGTTCTGTATCTAAGTCTAATTAAATATTTGCCATGCTATACGAGTTCTTGCTCCTCTTATATCAGGCATTCATATAAGGAAGAGCAACGTGAAAGAGTACCATCCAGAAAAATCCTTCCTCTGTCATCTACAAAGCCATTTTCACATATTCCTTCAGCACCCCCATTCCTAATGAAGGAAAATGACATTTAGATGAACTTCATTTAAAAACACTAAGAGGATTGTAGCTCAGGCACTGCCATAGCATACAGGAAAAACTGTTACCTTCTCAGCCTCCTGGAATATCCTTTAGTATACTGTCTGCAACTGCAGTGTTGTGTTTCTTTTCCCCACCTACTTTTTTCTGATACTGCCTCCACTTTCCTAAATACCCCAGTTGTCCTCAGTTGGTTCTTTACAGGAAGGCTTTTCATCATCCATCTAATATAACTACAGCAGTAACATTATCATAACCTTTCTCGATGATACAAAATGACCTACTCATGAAGCTTTTTCTAATTTCCTCTGGACTCCAGACCTTACTTTCTGTAGTAGCATAAGCTGCCAACAAGCTAAGAGGAGGTACACAAAAACAATTTAAAATTACTTAGCATTGTAGAGCTCACTTCTGATTACTCTGATTATTTTTTTCTAAGTATTATTGCACTACTTCAAAAAGAGATCCTGGCCTTTTTATTATTATTATTACTACTTTTATTTTTATTTTATTTTTTTTTAGGACCAGTTGAGGCCCTGGAGCAGGTGGCCCAGAAAAGCTGTGGGTGCCTCATTCCTGGAGGTTTTCATGGACAGATTAGTCCAACCTGGTTTAGTGCAAGATGTCCCTGCCCATGGCAGGTGGTTGGAACCAGATGATGTTTCAAGGTCCCTTCCAACTAGAGACTCCATGATTGTTATTCTGCTGCCTGAATATAACCACAGAACACAACCTTTAGTACCGTTATATCACTATTTGACCAGCCATGAGATAAAAAAAAACAACAAAAACACTACTCAAACAACTACAGGGCAGTTAGAAGCTACAGATCATAAGTCCCACAAAGGTCTGCAACAAAAGAGCTATCTAGTAGGGAGAAAACCTTCACAATAAACATCCACTGGTTAACTCCTTCCCTTCCCATGACTGAAGTAATTTGTTCAACTAGTAAAACCATAACACATGCCAAATCCCACTTCGCATCATTCTGAGTCACTGGTAATGAAGCAGAATTATACCCAGTGGCAACCTGAGGCAAATGCAGGAGTATCGCTGCTTGCAAGCATGACTTTCAGAGATAAGAACCTCAATGTACGTGCAGAAGGTGTTAACTACTGAGTATTCTTACCTTCATAAGCATGCTATACCTAACGAATTTCTTTTAGGTGCCAAAATGAAACAATGGTATTTTGAAGGTGTCTTGACCTGCTTTCTTATCTGGAATGAAACAGCAGGACTCCCTGATCTTAAAACTTTCTTACTGATTAAAAACTAGTAAGAAATCTACTTAATGATTTGTTTTTTTCCATTTCCATCTAATAGGACTAGGCAGTTTTCTGAACACTATGATCTTGAAAAATATTTTCTCTTTCTGAAGCAGCACTGCATCTCAGAAAATGCCTATTTTGATACTTAATTATAAGCAGGTTTCTAGAAATAGATGTCTCATTTATGAACCTGATTACAAGAACAGAAATTTTTATCCTTATTTTGGCTCCATATGCTGGTACTTTGAATGTTTAACAATCAAGCCTTCTGAAGCAAGCGTTTAAAAGAAACCAATTGATTCATAGAAGAATCCATAGCAATAAAATGATAGCTGAAAAACTCTAGCTACCACTTGGGTGGACAGATGTTGCATTTCAGTAGTTTCAATTCATCGTTGAATACTGAAGATGTACTTAACTCAATATTTTAGATATTCATTTTAGAACGGGTTCTTCACTTGAACAGAAAAATCATTCTTAACATATTTTAGTGAAGGATACTGTATAACAAACAAGATCTGAATAAGAGTAGTACAGAGCACACACACCATGCCAGAACTACAACTGGTTTTACCGTATCAGTACATATGTAGGAATTCAGATACATAGCTAGAAATTTAGGGTTCAGGCAAGGCAAAGGCAGCACTCTGAGCATGTGACCAACAATAAATGCAAGCATCATAGTGCTTTTTCTGCACATTGAGGAACCAAGAACTAGCTCTCAAAACCACATTGTACTTGGCTTCCAAGTGACACTACCTATGGTAATACTAACATGTATTTCTCAAGAGCCTTCAGGAAAATTTCTGTGCCCCCTACTCAACACAATAACGTAGTTCTCTCTGTACGCTAATAACCCATCCCTACCCCTAGCCACCCACCGCTACCACCCCCCCCCCTTTTTTTTTTTCCCTCCAAGCCCCAAGCACTGTATCTTACGACCCTTGGCACTTGGGCAGCAACACAGTTCGGAAGGGATTAAACTTCCCATCCAACTCAGTTTGGCCAAAAGATGCTTTTAGATACACAGCCACCAACAGCAGCAAGCTAAGAGCTCACCAGTGTCACTCTGGATCACACCATCAGCTGCATATCCCCCCAGGCACCATCAGATCAGGAACCTGAAAAGGAGAGAAAGAGGGACTCACTACCTCAACAGACTCAGCTTTGGTAATGAAGGGACTTGATTCTTTCAGCAAGATCATTTACTTCACAAGACTTGATGCTTCAAAGTTCAGCAGCAGACCCACATCTTTTTATACCCTCCTTGCTCCCCAAGAAGAGCACACTTCAAGCCTTGGATCACATTTTAACAGTTAAATAATGCTGGCTGAGCTTTTATCCCTTTATCATTTGAATGGTAAGTGAACATAAGCCATTCTGATAGAAAAGTTGGGCTCGTACACTTTAATACCCATATTAGAACTTGCCTGTATGATACAACGGGGATTGCTTCATAGAAGCTGATGTTTTGCCAAGGCCCAATCAAAGCAGCAGTCAAAAAGCCATGCTTCCTCAGGTCATTGACCCCTTCCCCCAACACACACAGGTATTAATCATCATTTTCTGACCATATTGGCTAAATCACAACACAAGGAAAAATCTTAGTTACCTTCCGACTGCTACCAAAGTTACAACAAAGCCCTTTAGCTGACACCAGTGTATTTACCTATAGGGTTTGACAATATAGTTCAGAGTATTTTATTTTTTTTTAATGGTTCATCAATCAAGTTCTTAAGCGTGCTCACTTCATGATCTGCTGCTGTTAACCTAAGCCTAATTCCAGATGTACATCAAGCATAACAACAAGGGGCAGGCATCATTCATTTCAACAGCCATAGCAGGTCACGTCACTAAACACCTTTGAAACTAAATTTTTAGCACACAGCAGAGAATATCAAGAGCAACACAAATAAAGAAATTCTCTGAATGAAAACCATAAAGCAATATATACAAGTATTTTTTCCCCTCTTGGATATTTGAAATAGATGCATGTAATTTAGTCATGGAATTACCCACTCAGATCTACTGCCCTGTGACACTGGCAGTTAAGAATTATTTCAGTACCTGGAATAAGCATAACACTTCAGTATTGTGCTAGTAAAAGTCAGTGCCCCTCAATGATTTCTATACATCACCAGTAATATTTATCTATTTTTTCCCCCATGTTTGTTTAAAAGAAATCAGTATTACACATCTTTTCTGTATCCATTACTTCCTTTATTCTGGTTTCCTGTTAGCTTATACGACAGAAGGCAAAGGCCAGAGTCTCAGCCCTCTCCTTAAGTGTAATTCTTAAGAATAAAAAAGTGTTAATTCTTCTGAATAAGTTGAGCACAATAAACTTTGACACAAAATATAAATTGAAGGTTTGGGTTACATACTCTAGTGAAAAGTTGCGTTACCACAGCTGGAAGTGTCTCAAGAACCACTCACAAAGAGAATGGCGAACAATATTTCTGCACTAGTAAGGTAAACATCACTGAAAAGTTGTACAATCAGAATTTCACTGGAAAGGTATCTTTTAGACTAAGTACCTACCAGAAAAGTTTTTGTATCAACAAATTATTTTCTGATGCATACTAAAGGAATTTTCCTTAAGATCTGTATGCTTATAAACTGCATTTCAGAGTGACATGCTTGTTTTCTAAACTAAGCGTAATATTAATAAGTTGTATTGTTTATTTAACTACACAATGCAAAGAAGTTGCAAGCCTAAAATATTTCTCCCTTCTCTTTAGTTTTGAAAAAAGAATACTTCAGCAGCCTTAGGATATACATGTGAAAGACCAACTTGTTGAACAGAAACACCATTCGTTCTATTTACACCACCTTGAATGAAACCATCTACAATCTTTTAATAGGAAAATAAAGCATGTCTTCCTTTTCGTCAGGATACACTGGTTACTTTTAGTCATTAGATCAACCAATTGCTCTTTTTTTTGCTGAGAGACAGAAAGAACATACCATTACAACACAACTTGATGCTTTATTTAAACATAGTAGCTCATTCTTTCATGAAATGATACACTCACTCTCATTCATTGTTCTCTAAAATCTGTTAACCTCACAAAAGTGATTTTCTTTCTCTCTTTTTTTTTTTTTTTTTTTTTTAAAAGAATGGGCCTAAAGTAGCAATGCTTAACTTCCTCAAACGGTATTCAAAAATATCCACTGACTTGTTTTTACCTGCAACCTATGTTCAGCTTACACCTGTTCTTGATGGCTGGTGAGATGATACTTCAGGCATTAGTGAAACTTCTTAAACACTTCATAGAGAAGTAATACATCAGAATCAGATGCAATAACATGGTAAAAGTGTGATCCTGCCACATCTCACAACCTAAGAATCTGGAAATCTGTTTGAATTACATTTTGTTGTTCAGTAAAGTCTCGTTCTCAGTCCCTTTGAGACTTTAGTCAATTATCTAGATTACACCAATGACTACCGTGGTGCAAGTAAACATCTTTTTCAGATAATAGAAACAATTTTTGGTCTTTTTCACTAGTCATCATATGACCTCCTTTGACCAGTGCTCATCTCAGGGCACTGCTAAGTTCCAGCTGGAGCAGACACAATAGCAAGTTTTTTATTAGCATGTACACTTCAATACTATGCTATTCCATGGCACCATGAGATAGATCTGTATCACATAATGGTAGACATATCATTCTATCATTCATATCATCCTAGAGTATCTTCACAATATTGTGAATAGAGTGACACTACATGAACACACTTTATTTACTACACAGCTAGGTAAGAGGAAATATATACATTTTAAAATAACAAATGGAAATCGAGGATTTAAATTATTTGGTTTGCAACATTTGCTTGGTTAATTATATATATATGTAAATACATATAAAGACTGCATGGTCTCTTCACAATCTCTTTTTTGACTCTATTAAACCAATCATTCCACTTGGTTCTTCTGCCATTAGTTCCTACCCTAAACTGACAACAATGTTTGCCAGCACTGATGGGTCTGAATATATTTTCTTTTGCCTAGGTAACAGGGACTAGTAAATACCCCATATATTTATTTTTGTATACAAATATAACTCTTCCTTCTTGTTAAGCATGCACACAGATAAGGATAGAGCTATTCCTAAGTAATCTGTAACATTCTCAATTTAAAAACATCTTAAGACTTTACACTCAGCTATTCTCTTCTTTATCAAGGAAAAATAAATCACATCAGAAGACTGATACAAGTGACATGTTCAGAGAGAAACAACACTATGACTGACCCTGCTGGAGAGCACTGTGAAGCAGTCCCCTTTGATCTCAGTATACAATGCAGTTAGAGCCATGACTGCACTGTGTATCCAAGTTACCTTATAAACTAGTGACATTTGGACTACAATCACATCTCAAACTCAGCCGTTATACAACACAATTGTACAAGGCATAATGTAAGTATTAACTGTTGGCCAAAGGCAAATCAGCATATACAAGCAGTTCACTCCCCCAAGCATCATAATCTACCTATATACACACGCTGATGTCTGTTCTTCCCTCAGTAATTTGCCATAATCTTGTTTCATCTGGATGCAGCGGAGATGAAATTTTTATACATTTGCTCCCTTACTAATTAGGACAGCGTACCTGCTAGCTCCAGATCCTCAGCTAGCAGCCTTGCTATTTAATGAAAGGCTGTGCCCTTAAATTGAGGAGAGCTAAGAGCCAGACAAGGAATGATTATGTGAAAGATGTGCTGAGGTTATTAAACTGCCTGAAAATGCTCATCTGCTCTACAAAGACCTTGAAAGCTCCAAGAAACTCTTTGATGTACTCTATCATAGATACAGTAGTGCTTCACTGAATGGCTACAGCCACCTATCATGGTATTATCACGCATGCTCCTTTCAAAGGTCACAGTTATGGAAAAGCACCAGATAATTGAAGACTTCTTGGACATCTTTCTGAACAAATTTTGTGACATGGCTTCACCTCACAATTGCCTTGCTTGTGACCTCTAGGTTCTGTCACTACAATATGCTCTACTTGGGGTCACTGTTAAATAATATTCACATGTTCCAACATGAGTTACCATTAAAACAGCTCCTGGGGTTTTGTCATGATGGCCACGTTCTGTAACCTGTACTCTTAAAGAATCGTACTGAAATACAGAGGACTGAAGCATCCATGTAAAGCATGGAATTCTGCCTTCCTCACAGTGACTCAGATCACCACAGTCAGCTACTTCCTCCCATCTTACACCATGATCTTAAAACAAGACCGCATTTCGAGTACTTTGCCAATGGGAGACAAGAACAACAGACTTTCTGCTCCTGTTTTGTAGAAAACTTGGTAACTCTTTGAGCTTTGCCTGCACCACCCTGTCAGCTCAAGTTTTTCAGCACTGCTGACAAATCAAAATAGACTAAGATTAAATTTTAGTTTGAAATACATGGGAAAAATTGAGAAGCCTGTAGCCACTCTTCTATAGACAGATGGTTAGATGGTTCTATTCATACCATAGTACATCAGAAATAGAGAAGCAAAAAATAAGCATCAGAAAAAACAACCCCGTGTAACTGCAAAAAAAAAAAAAAAAAAAAAAAAAAAGAGAGAGAGACAAAACTCTCTAGTTCATCCATTCCTAACCATCCATCCACCTAATAAGTAATGCACCCAAGGAATAGGCATGTCAGGTGTTTCCCATCTGGAACAGGAGTGAGATGCAACTGATGCAATTAGGCATTACCAGATGATATAAAAACAGCTTTCTCTATAGTATATCTTCAAGACAGGCAGTAGCCCATTCAACTAGGAATGCTTTACACAATTGTTAGCTTTCAAAGCCTTTATTTATTGTCTGTAGGAGTAGGTGATAACGTAAGAAATACATTACTTCTTGAGTTGTTAGACTACACTACATCTGTTTCCTTCTGGTAGTCAGAACTTGGAAATTTAAGTGCAAATACCACATAAATACAAACTAATTATTTTAATGCAATCAAGTCTCAGGGTATATTTTGTTTGTATACCTGAGATAAACAACTTTTTTTTTTTTTTTAAACTGCAGTAAACCACTCTGCTCCATGCTGCAGCCACATTAAAGACAGAACTGTAGTGGGTTTACATGGCAAGGTTTTGGTACCAGGGGGCCATAGAGGTGGCTTCTGTGAGAAGAATCTAGAAGCTGCCCCATGTTAGGTTAAGGGCCCTACTACTGACCAGAGCCAAGCCAATAAGTGGCAGTGTTTGCACTTGTGTGTGTGTGAGAACATGTTTAAGACATGGGGGGGGGGGGGGGGGGGGGGTAGAGAAAAAACACTGCGCCACACAGCAGCTCAGAGAGTGAGAGGAGTGAGAAACAGCCTTGCAGGCATCAAGGTCAGTGAGCAGAAGTCCCCTGCAGCCTGTGGTGAGGACCATGGTGAAGCAGGCTGTCCCCCTGCAGCCCATGGGTCCCACATGGAGCAGGGTTCCACACCACAACCCATGGAGGAGACTGCAGTGGAGCAGGTGGGCCTACACCAATGGAGGCTGTGGCCTGTGGAAGACCCCTGCCGGAGCAGATTCTGGGCCAGAGTTGTAGCCTGTGGAGAGGAGCCCATGCAGGAGCAGGGGGTCTGGCAGGAGCTGCTGCCTGTGGGGGACCCAGGTTGGAGCAGCTCCTGAGGGATGGACCCCGTGGTACAGAGCTGTGTGGGAGCAGTGCTTGAAGAGCTGCTGCCAGTGGGCAGCCCACGTATGATCAGTTCAGCAAGGACTGCATCTTGTGGGAGGAACCCCACAGCACAGGGGGTGAGAGTGACCAAGAAGGAGAGGCAGAGAAGAAGCACTGTAGACTGACCATAACCCCCATTCCCCTGTGCCACTTCAGGGGAGGAGGTGGAAGAGGCTGGATGGGGGGAAGGGAAAGGTGCTTTTGGTTTCTTTCCTTTGTTTCTCACTTCTCTAGCTTGTTAGTAATAGGCAATAAATCTTACTATCTCCCTATACCGAGTCTGTTTTGCCTGTCACAATAAATCCTGTGCAATCTCCCAGTCCGTATCTCAACTCTTGAGCCCTTTTCATTGTATTTTCTGCCCCTTCATCTTTGAGCAGGAGGAGCGAGAGAGCAGTTGTGGTAGAGCTCAGCTGCCCACCAAAGTAAAACCACCACAAGAACCAACAGGATTTTATCAAGAGCAATAGCCAGTTGAACCCTGGATAAGAGCTGCAATGCCTCTCAAAACAGATCCTGCAGATATTAGAAACATTGACCACAGAAATAATTATGGGATAGCGTACTAGCAAAATACACTGTAATTTCCATAAATTTTTAAGCAGTCCAATTTAGCACAACTGTAACTACAGAGGCAAAGATTGTAATGAGATTTTGTCAATGTGCTTTTTTTGTTATTGTTCAAACTAACAGCACTTCTGTGTTGTTGTTTAAATTAGCTATGGTGTTCTATGTACACACGTTTTTTTGTATGTTCATTAGAACATATGAACCCCCACACCAAAGACAACTCTATTACCCTCACGCTAATGATTTTTCTTTTTGTTTTGAGTGCAGATATGTTGTTTTTTGTTTGTTTGTTTTTTCTTAAAACAGGTTTCCAATCCTTAGCAATCTACTGTATTTACTCCCTCTAAAGTCAGGATTATCGTGCTTCAAAGAATAAGAAAACGAAAAGAGGAAAAACCTTACCAAGCACTTCACCAAAGCTGGGGGGGTGAGGGGGGGAGGAATAAATTAATGTCCTTAATCTTACATAGTAAGAAACACTTGGCCTCAAATGCTTGTTAACTCTTTTCACATGATAGTTATCTACAGGAGTAGTACTTCCTGGGATATTCCATGCTTGAAAATATTATTTTAATATTTTGTACCAGAAGATACATTTGCAGCAAATTTATGGTTACCTGCTGAGAGTGATTACGCTCTCTGATTTTCCTCCACGTTTAGTTTTGCGTTAACTGTATTTCCTAGCCTCCTCCATGTCTAACCTGAATCCTGACTGGATATCTGAGTGTAGAGAAATTAATTCAGTTTCATTTCAATGTAAGTACACTCTATGAGCCCTTTCGTTTTTGTTCACAAACTCAAGATGTTCTAATATAAATAATAGAATACCAATTATTTCTTCACAGTTCAAAATCCCTTGTTATTGTTCAGGTCTTGCTGGTTTTGATATTGAAGACAGCTACTGATGAGAAAATATACACCCTTTATAAGTGGTGCTTCATCACATAGTTCACACATTCACTGCTCTTACTCTAAGTACATAAAGCTCTGCTCACACTTGAACAGTAGTGTGATTTCACCCACTTAATCTGGGATGGTACCCATTCAAGCAGAAGGGGAGTCAAGATAAATATGTATTACTACATCTAATCCTAGTCTCAAGCATTTATCTTCCCTTCAGTACAACTCTTGATCTACACCATATTGGAGCTTGAATACTGTTGCTGAACATAAATTCTTCTACATGCTTGTTGAACACAGACTTTTATGTTAGAATTTATCTTAAACTGGTGGTTCTCTTCCCATTTGTAGGTGCTGTGGATACTTACTGTTTGTTTCTTTAAGACAAACATCAAACAGACACAAAATTACTGAGATGGAAGCACCACCTTACTTGTTGCCAACAGCACACAGTATTAGCTGTAAGCAAACAGCAACAACCTGCTACTTTTATGAAATTCCCTTCAGCTTTTAAGACAAGTTTGGTTATCTTTTGAAGACAGTAAAACTCATGCTTCGTGACTAGGCCTCACCTCTTTCTTTAAGGATTTCAAAAATATTTTAACACCTTTTCTTATTGCTTGGACTTGCTGACTGCTCTCTAGCTCAGCAGAAGCCCTTCTGAGCCAAACACACACATTTTATACGGATTCCAGCAAGCCCAGCAACACAGGCTGTATTCCAAAATCCTACACAAAAGCAGCACCTCAGCTGAGGCCTTCCTGCCCTAACAGAGGACCACATACACTAAGCAAGGCAGGACTGCTACACCCAGGTAAAAAGGGCTTTTCATGCTACCTTTGCAGCTCACTGTTGAGCTGACAACCACGGACCACGACTCCCTCATTTCATTAGTTCAAAAATACCCCTCTGTCATTTGTTACTCTTCTCAACCTTACAGCAGAAGCACTAAAACATTTTTTAGAAACCTACCTCTGACTGGTTTGCTGACCATGCACATCCTTCCAGGGCCCTGCCAGAGACGGAGGATTTACTTTAACAAAGAAAACAATGCATCAAAGAGGACTGCAGCAGTATCCTGTATGCTCTCTCCCACAAAAATCCCCCTTTCTCCTGACAAATTGCAGAAACATCCCTGCCTCTGACGATCTGGTGTGGAAATGTGCCACAGGTGTGGTGCCAGCCCAGCTGGCAAGGCCCCACCTGCGGCTTGCCATCTCAGCCTGCTCACCGCCCTGCACTGGGCCTCCAGCTGCCCCTGCCTCAGTCATTCACCCTTCTGATCATCACTCAGCCCTAATGAGGCAAATCACTGACTGCAGCCCAGCTACTGCCACCGATTTTTCCCTACCATGGCTGGCAGCCCAGCATGTGGGACACCAGCCCTGGCAGCAGCGGGAAGCAGGAATCCTATGTTAGGAAATAAGAATATGTTTTGAAAGAACACCAGAAATTACACAGCTGTGGTGGTATTAATTCTATCCCCTACCTGTCAAATGCTATTATTCTAGAGATGCTTCTTCTAGGGAGCAGAGGTTATCAAATGAGTAGTAGAAAAGGTAACCTGACAAGGAAATCACACAGCACCTGGGGACTCCTTTCGCTGCCAGCCCTTTCCTGTGAGAGTGCTAGTGGCATCACGTCAGGCTCCAGAAAGGATATCCACAGTTCCTCAGAGGATAATTTAAATTATTGTTATACTGAAATAAGGAATGACACTAAAGCGACCGCAAGGAAGGAAAATGTGTTGATCTTGCTTGTGATCAACTAGCTTTGCTATCTCAGCTGAATCTCCAGGCCTGGGTGCCCCCAGCGTGAAAAGCACTCTGCAGCCAATAACACAGGCAAGGATCTCAGTGAAGTAGCATTTTTATTTGCAATTGCAATGGCAGGCATCCTGTGAGCAGAAGCACAGAACAAAAGTATATCATAACCTTATATTCCTTGTTGCCCAACACTTATTTTGTCCTGTTTCCTCAATAGCTGAGTACTACGGGTTCACAGACTACTCAAAGCTTATTACTATACCATATATGTACAAATTTATTTGATCAACCATTAATTTCTCTCTTGTTTTTTTTTTGTTTTTTTTTTTTTTTCTTTTTCTCTCATGACTAGAGGGCCCATGGTTGTTAGTTTTTACTGATTTCTCACTGCTCGTCTTGTTTTTCGTAGCTATCCTCCTTATTTTGGGACAGTGGGACCTTCCCCTTATCTGCTTAACATACTGTTATGCTTGCACAATCACTTTTGATTGTGCCAGGTTAGTGGAATTTTCCACTGCAAAAACTCAACTTTATTTCTCAGACCAGTGCTTGGGTATGCAGGATAATCAGGGGCTTAATCAGCACTCCAGTACTGGTGTGGCAAAGTCCTTAGCACATATTTAACTTTAAATACGTGAACAGTTACATTAACCTGATCAAATATACTGAAGTGAAATAAGCTAACGATAAGCTCTCTATTTTACCCAGAAGTGAACTCTTTGCTCCTTGTGGGATCAAGCTTCACATTCCTGGTCTCTGCAAGGATTTCAGAGCTCACAAATGGGAGAGGCCGAAGACATGAAACTTGCATAAGGGTTCCTCTGAATGCAGCAAAGTACTGCTTCTCTTAAGGGCAGTAAATCTCATGCTTTGTTTAAAATATAAGCAACGGTGTAATCTACAGTAATGTTCACACAAAGGATGGGTGTAGAGTAAATCAGGATAAGGAGACTGTCAAAGTCTATTCCCACAAACTATAGGTTATACATTCAGGTAAATGCCAAAACAGTGAATGTGGTGAAAGCAAGAGGGCAACTGATCACATAAGATGAGCTACCTTATGTGCAAAATATCCTCTGTTTAAAAAAGCATCTGTTATTTCCACTGCTAAAGAAAGACTACTGAACTAGATGGACTCACCTGGGCATTGTGGGGGCTTGTTTGTTTGAAGGACAATGAGATAGAACATAAACTTCATCCCAAACAACAGTTTAATAACATAACAGCATATTTCTGTAGGTGGGATTTTGATAGTCGTTCAAGAACAAGCAACTCTCAGAAACTGTGTGTATTCAAAAATAACTAGAATTGCCAAAACCAAAATGCTAATTCTTGTGAAAATTCCAGGATGAATAATTAAGCAAAAGAATACATATATTACTATAAACAGGCATTTCAGAATGTGTGATTTTTATTTTATTTTTTTTTTTAATTGACCTATACACTGAAACGTAGAGTAATATCTATGGTATCCCACATGATAGTGAATGCACTTCTTATTTTTTACTCACAGTTACTACTTGTACTCATCATCCTTTTATTTTCCTGTCCTTCTTTCCTTGAAATAAATAACATGCTAATATATCAAAACAAATGGAGAGTTTATACTTACTTTCACATTCATAGGCTGCAGCAATTTCCAAGTGAACCTGATACCAAACTTAATATACTTTGCAGCATGACACAGCAGAGCAAGATTTTTTATCTGGCAAAGGTTTATGCATTTCTCATTCAAGAAAAGGTTTACTGACACTAAATTACCTTGAACTGTTGCATTCTTTTCTTTTTTTTTTTTCATTTTATTAACATGTTGTGGTTTTCATAAGCAAGTAGTGATTCTTATTAATGAAAACACCAAGGACACAATCCAGCTCGTACTGAGGTCTGGTGACACAAGCCCTATTGATTTTTATAGGAATTATATTTCTATTACTCCATTAAGAATGAATTAAACAGAGAAACGACGCCGTTTTAATTATGGGTGATAGGCTTTTGACAGAGGAAACCGAGGTGCCCAAATTATAGGAAAGGGATTAAGCTACGTAAAAGTTGCTGTCCATTTTTCTGTTAGGCAAAGGATTGATTGTTCTACCAGCCTAATTTTCACTGTTCAAATGACACAAAATGAATGAATTCCAACCACAGAGCATCTCTCTTTCTCTGTGGACTGTGCCAAAAATTGGACTGTTTCTGGAGAATCCTCTCAAAAGATTGTGTTAACGAGAACATTTGTCAGAAAAAGAGACCAGGTATGCTTTAATTTATGGAATGTATGCTTTTACCTATTAGTAGTTTTTGGTATTCTTTTTATGAGCCCCTGTGGCAAATAGCTTTATCACGGGGAAGTACTTGTTCTTTTATCAGACAAATATTTATATTTCATTGTAGTTAACCTCATAAATTAAAGATCTTTTCAAAAAGACATTTTTACTTTTAAGCCTAATGTATCATTTTTATAAGTCAGAGGCAAATTGACTGAGCTATTCATTTACAAAAAACACGAAATGTACTCAGAGTGATCAGAAGACTGATAAGTGTCTTGTAGTTTTCTGTTCTGTCAAAATTAATTTCTTAATCCATTGACCAAATCTGTAAAAAAAATCCTTTGCACTCGTCCTTGGAATTATCTGTCCTTTCTGAAGCTGAATGTTATCATTAAAATTAAATCACTGAATTATTAGATTACCCAGGATTAATTCAAAAAACATAGGTAAAGAACAAAAGTGGTTTTTTGTTGTTGTTATTTATTTTCACTAACAGGTATCAAGGTGGCCACAGAGTGCTTTATTGAGATATAGAAAATAAAAACAGTTGTAGAAATAAGAACACTTTTTATTAAATGCAAACAATAATTCTTACTAATTTTGACGTAATATCATTGACCAAAGTGAGAGAAAACAACCATTAAAACACTGCAGGGATGCAGGTAAGATCCCTGCATTACAAAACCTGAATCCTCTGCTGCTGTGTCATAATGCTACTGACTTTAGACTGAGCTTTGTAGTCTAAAAATATAATAATATTAATAGAAAAAAAAATGCTTATAGAGTGTCTATAAGCAAATGGCAATGGATGTGAATGCACACAATCAAAATACACCTTGCTTTGGTGCCAACGTTCTCCGAAATGTCTGAAATATACTCAGGTCTCCAGATGCACAGATACCTATACTTTCCTCTTAAAATTACAACTCAGTAACAAGTTTCAGAGATATACAAGTGCTTATATGTGAACATTCAACGTTTCCTATGTCCTGTCAACTCTACTTCTAGCAAAGTTGTATGTTATTTGTAATTAAATATTCAGAACAATCTCTTTGTAAGAATCTTAGTTTACAAATACAATTACAATATTACACAGGAGAAAGTCGGATATGACAGGCAGATAATAGCTGAAAATAATAATGCTATGAAAAGCATTAAAACTAAAATAAAGACAAAATTACGGTGTTATTGACAGAAATGAGTAATTTACATTTAAGAAATGCTTCAAGATGAAGGTTTCATTTCTTTGTACCGAATAGATGGAAATCCAGAGGAAATCTTCAAAAGGATATGCTGATAATTACTGGTCATAAATGATTGAAAGAAAAAGAAGTGGAGAATTAGGAAATTATAAATGTACATTTCAAGTGCCCTGGTCCTCAGCCACTGTCTGATTACAAAAGAAATCAGATAACATCGGAAAATATCATTCCCCTAAAATATTCCTAAGTATTTCCATAAAATTTCTATGGATCAGCATGGGACAACATGATCTATACTATAGTGTAGAATAACCAGAATAAAAATCCATGTCACATAAGAAAAAAATAAGTTATTTTTCTTAACGCTGCTTGAATTGCTTTTGCTATTCTAAACTACTGCAAAAATATGCTGATTGCATCCAATATTTTTGGAATACTGAACAGGAATTCACCAATTTTTCAGCATAAACCATAGGTTTAATATGCTTAGTCACACAGACAAAGAGAGGTCTGCTATCGGTTTCTGCAATCAGAAGTTACTGGGGGGGGGGAGGGGGGGGGAAGCAGCTCAGGACATTATCACTTGAAGGGAAAGACTAAAGAAACATGTTTACATTAGGAAAGAGACAATCAAGAACTGTTCACAGTTAACTACTTGGAGTAGACACATCTGAAAATATCGCTCTAAATCTAAAGAAAGATCTACTATGTTCCAAATTTTGATGTGAATACTAGACTAAGATAAAAAAAAATCATTTAAAAAAATAAATTTTTTCTTAGCACTGTATTTTAAAATCAGGTTTTTAAATTGACATGGGAAGTATTTTCTTAATTCTCCTGAATTAGAGAAAAATAACCCGATAAAAGGAAAGCAGAATTTG